AGCATCGGCCTGTGGACTGAAGGGTCCCGGGTTCGATTCCGGCCAAGGGCACGTACCTCGGTTGCAGGCTTCTCCCTGGCCCCGGGCCCTGGTTGGACTCTTGCAGGAGGCAACCCATGGATGTGTCTCTCTCACATCGATGTTTCTCTCTGTCTCTCCCTCTCTCTTACACTCTCCATAAAAAAAAAAAAAACAATGGAAAAATATCCTCGGGTGAGGATTGAAAATTAATAATAATAAAATAAACTGCCCAGGGGGAAAGAGACAGGACGCCCCGGGGAGCCGTGGTCTGCCCTGACATCACAGCGGCGGCGGTGCCCCAGCCAGCCCCGCTCAGAGGCCTTCTCGGCGCCTTCCCGAGGGCAGCGCTGGGAGCTCCGCTCAGCGCAGCCGCCACTCAGAGCATAATGTCCCTTTGAGTTCTCCATTTCACCTTGAATATTCATGTGGTTTCTGCAGCAGACCCCGCGATAGCCAGGCTGGCTTCCTCTTTTTCTTTTTCAAATTGATTTCAGAGAGGAAGGCAGAGGGAGAGAGAGAGAGAGAGAAACATCCATGATGAGAGAGAATCATGGATCAGCCGCCTCCTGCACGTCCCCCACTGGGCATCGAACGCACAACCCAAGCATGTGCCCTGACCGGGAATCGAACCGTGACCTCCTGGTTCATAGGTCAATGCTCAACCACTGAGCCACACCGGCCGGGCGAAAGAACGTGTTTTGAAAGAGAAACAACAACCAATAAGGTTACGCATGGATTTGCCGACAAGAAATGTTGTGGCCGGAGGCTGGCAGGAAGCAGACCCAGCATTTCCCCTGCTCACAAGTTCAAGCAGATTGTTGAACGCAAGCGTGGTGACTGAAGAGGCTCACCTGGCCCTAATGGGTTTGGCTCAGTGGATAGAGCATCGGGCTGCGGACTGAGGGGTCCCGGGTTCGATTCCAGGCCAGGTAACATGCCTGGGGCCTGATCCCCAATAGGGGGCGTGCAGGAGGCAGCCGATCAAGGATTCTCTCTCATCATTGATGCTTCTCTCTCTCCCTCTCCCTTCCTCTCTGAAATCTACCAATCTATCTATCTATCTATCTATCTATATACAATGAGTGGCCAGATTATTATGACCACCCCATCAGTACAATGAAGTGAATTAGTTATACAAATAATAATAATAAAACCTTGAGAGTATTTGCTTAGGAAGTTTTCAATATTCAGTATTTTTGGAAGCGTCAATGAAGTACTGGTGGGGTGGTCATCATAATCTGGCCACTCAGTGTGTGTGTGTGTGTGTGTGTGTGTGTGTGTGTGTGTGTGTGTGTATCCTATGCAATAAAAGGCTAATATGCAAATTGTCCCCATGGGTGGGAGTTCAACCGAGAGGGAGTTAGACATGCGCTGACCACCAGGGGGCGGTGCAGAATATGGCGGGCGTCAGCCACATGGCGCTGGCAGCAGCGACGAGAGGGGGACCATGGCGGGATGGTGGAGCAGGTGAGCAGGTGGCGCCAGGCCAAGGCGGGTGGTAAGGGAGGCCCCGGCCGGCGGTGGCGGCAGGCAGCTGGGGGAAGGAAGGCCCTGGCCAGCAGCCGGCAGACGCTAGGGACCCCACCCATGCACGAATTTCGTGCACTGGGCCTCTAGTCTACACTAATAATAGAGAAAAATGGTAATTGGAGTACGGCGATACCGTTTTCATTGGCTAATCAGGGCTATATGCAAATTAACTGCCAACAAGATGGCGGCTAATTTGCATATGTAGGCACAATGCAGGGAGGCGAAAGGGAAAGCAGGAAGAAGCCCCCTGCCACTGACAGTGATCGGAAACCCAGGGGGGAGCTAAGAGCCATGATCGGAGAATCAGGCGCCTTTGCCGCCCTGGCCAGTGATAGCAGGAAGTAGGGGTGGAGCCAGCGACGGGAGCTGGGCACGGTCGAAGCTGGCAGTCCCGGGAGCTAGGGGTCCCTTGCCTGGGCCTAAAGCGAAGCCCACGATTGCGGCGCCCCCCGCTGCCACTGCAGGTCCCCGCTGCCCGGGCCGGACGCCTAGGCCAGAGGCGTTAGGCCTGGGCAGGGGCGGAGCCTGCAACCACGGGGAGCTGGGGGTCCCCTGCCCAGGCCTGACACCTCTGCCGGAGGCCTCAGGCCTGGTCAAGGGGCCGATCCGGTGATCGGTGATCGGAGGGTGATGAGGGTCAACTCCTCTGGCCGAGGCATCAGGCCTGGGCGGGGGGCGGAGCCGGGGATTGGGGGGATATGATGGTCCCCTTGCCCAGGCCTGAAGCCTGGGTCAGAGGCGCCAGGCTTGGGCGGGGGGTGGAGCAAGCGATCAGAGGGAGATGGGGGTCCCCTGCCCAGGCATGATTCCTGGGCCAGAGGCCTCAGGCCTGGGCGGGGGCCAGAGCCAGTGATCGGGGGGAGATGGGAGTCCCCTGTCCAAGCCTGACACCTCTGGCGGAGGCATCAGGCCTGGGCAAGGGGCCGATCAGGCGATCGGAGGGTGATGGGGGTCAACGCCTGAGGGCTCCCAGTATGTGAGAGGGGGCAGGCTGGGCTGAGGGACACTCTCCCCCGCCCCCCCACACCCAGTGCACGAATTTCGTGCACCGGGCCTCTAGTAGATAAATAATAAAGAGACTCACCTGGGCACAGGTGCACACCTGTGGCAACAGGGCGCCATCAGAAGCTCTGGGCTCCATCCTGGCTTTGCATCTCACTATGTCCTGGCGATCGGTCCCCTGAGCCCCCGTGTGCTCAGGGGGGAAAATGGGAATGGTGCTCCTACCAGTAGGAAGTGGGCCTCTGGGATCATCTCCAGCGTGGTCGGCTTTTGATGGATTTGCTGAATTTCCTTGAGGGGCCAACAGAATATAGGGAGGAGGGAAGAGGATACAGGAACAAAGAACTGTGGGCATGGTCCAGCATCTGGGTGGAAAGGGAAGGTGGCGACCACTAGAAAAGGCCTCACCCTAATTTTTTAAAAACTAGAGGCCCGTTGCACGAATTCGTGCACATCGAAAGGAGATTAATTAGAAGAAATATTTTAGAGGCCAGGGAGGGACTGCAGGAGGGCTCCAGGGAGTGTCCGGCCTGTCTCACCCAGTCCCAATGGGCCGGACCCCAACAGCAAGCTAACCCACCGGTTGGAGCGTCTGCCCCCTGGTGGTCAGTGCACGTCATAGCGGCTGGTCGAGTGGTCGACCGAACAGTCGACCGATTGGTTGGACACTTAGCATATTAGGCTTTTATATATATAGATGGACCAATAGGAGACAGCCAGACCTAGATGACCCCCTAGTACTCAGCCAATGAGGAGCCAGAGGAGGGACCAGATAAATAGGCCACATTTGTTGCCCCAAACGTGCCTGTACCCCCAGCCTGCACCTCCTTTGCACCATCCTTCTGTCTCCGAGTCTGTCACTGAATTCGGACAGGTGAGCATGTCTCACACCAACTAGCTGCGCATAGGAAGTGGGCACAGTGCCTGGCACACACTCTGCACCCCAGGAAATGCTGACTGTGGCACGTGGGTGAGGGCATGGGAGGGAGGGTGGGGGGGTGGGGGGAGGAAGAGGGGGCTTTCTGAGCAATCCCCTGCCCTTGGCTTTGTGCCCCTGAGACTGGCCCCAGGCCTTAGTTCTCATCACTTCCAAAGCCCACAGGAAATTCACCCTAATACGGTAGAAATAGAATATTGGGGGCCAGCTAGAATGATAAGAAATAGGAATCACACTCGGTTAACCGCGATTGTGCTGTTCTGAGTAGAGGAGGCGCCCTCTAGCCCGGCTGGAGCTGCAGTGGGACCTGGGAGCTCACCTGGAAGGGCAGCCCAATCTCCCCACCAGGGAGCTGCCTGTCACCATGGAAACATAACAACCTGGTTGCAGAAACCAGGGCCCCCAGGTCTTTGCATGTCACCAGCCCTTAGAAGGCCCCCAGCCTTTGCATACCCACAGGCCTTTGCAGACCCCCAGCCTTTGCACACCCACAGGCCTTTGCAGGCCCCCAGCCCTTTGCAGACCCCCAGGCCTTTGCAGGCCCCCAGCCCTTTGCAGACCCACAGGCCTTTGCAGACCCCCAGCTTTTGCACACCCACAGGCCTTTGCAGGCCCCCAGCCCTTTGCAGACCCACAGGCCTTTGCAGGCCCCCAGCCTTTGCATACCCACAGGCCTTTGCAGACCCCCAGCCTTTGCATACCCACAGGCCTTTGCAAACCCTCAGCCCCATTGCCTGTGCACCGCCCACCCGGCCCTCCCTTTGCGTCCTTCCCATGCCATCTCTGTCCTTCTCCCCAGTATAAGCAGCCGCCTGTGGTGGGGGCAGAGCAGATGTTTGTGGGTGACCTGCTGCTCCCCACGCTGCCGGCGGGATTGGCATCAACGCTCACAGACGATGCCAGCCTGTCTCTGCCGCATCGGCTCAGGGAGGGACAGGCGGCCGGACCCCTTGCTTGTCTGGTGACACCGCCACCATTTCCCCCCAAATCACAGGCGTGGGCGCCCCGCTATGGGGGCAGTTGCAGAGCCGTTACGCAGCCCAGCTCGGCTCAAATGCAAGCGGCTCCGGGTTCCCGGCTAAGAGGTGGCCCTGCTCGGCGGTTCCTGGCCCCGGGCAGCCAGATGCGCGCGGGCGGCGAGCCCTCCGGAGTCCCGCGGCCCCTGTGCCGGGCGCTGCGCCCGGAGGGGCGCTGGTCTCCGGCTTCGCTCACGCCCGGCCCGGAGCGCGGACGGAGCCAGCGGTTCCGGGCAAGCGTCCTGTGGTCGCGGGGCTGCCTGAGCGGAGCCGGCGCCCGGGCGGAGGGGGCCCGCGGGGGCCGGAGGTCGGGGGGGCGGGGGGCGGGGGGCGGCATCCCCACTCCGGCTCCGACGGAGGCGGGGCGCCCGGCTGGCTCGCACGGCCGCCCGCCTCTCCCAGCGCACCCGCCGGCGGCGACCCGGCTCTGGCACCGCGCCTGGCGGCCGGCCCGGCGAGGAGTGGCTTCCAGGAAGCGGGCGGGGGCGCGATCCAGCCGCGTCTGGGGCGCCCGGCCGGGCCCCTCCGGTCCCTTCCCGCCGACGACCCCGCGGGGCGCGCCGTGCACTTGCCGGCGGTGCAGGTGGCCGCGCGCGCCCGGCGCCCTGCGCCCTGGGTCCCCGCCAGCGCCGCGCCGCGCGCCCCGAGGGGCGGGGAGGCGGGGCGGCCCGTCGCGGCCCCAGTTCGCTTCCCGGCGGCGGCGCGGCAGCTGGAGGCCGGCGTCGGGAAGGTCCGGCCGGGTCCGCACCGGGTGTCCGGGTGTCCGCGGGGCGGCCCCCCAGCGCGTGTCTCGCCCGCGCCGTCCAGGCTGCCCCGTTCCGGACGCATCCGCGGTGCCAGGTGGGTGCTGCGCGCGGGGGGGCCGGGTGGGGGCTCCCCCACCCAGCGGGTAAGACGGGGCGGGTCTCTCAGAGGTTGGGGACACTTTAGACAATTTTAGACAATTCAAACTTTTAAAATAAATATTGATGTTAGGCCCCCCCCCCCCCCCCCCCAAAACTCCTTGGGTCTGGAGGATGCGGGGAGGGACGTCCCCGGCTCTGCGCGGGCGGAGCGGTCTCTGGAGTGTTTTGGGGGGACTTTCAGCTTTGGGGGGTCCAGGTAAAACGGGCGGGAAGCAGCCGGGGGAGGTCCCACAGGTTGGCCGGGCGGGTCGCGAGCGCCTAAAGGGCGGAGATGGGGGGCGGGGGAGGCGACGTGCCCGGCGGCGCAGAAGGTGGGCGCGGGGAGCGGAGGCCGTGCGCCCCGGACGCAGGGGCCAGCGAGCCGGCGAGGGGCGCGCGGCCCCCGGCCTGGCCCCCTCCCTGCAGCCGGGAGCCGCCGCCCGGGCCGGAAGCGGCAGCACATTTGCGGATCGCATTAGGCCGGGCCCGTAATGCTTTCTCCAGACGGAGCCGAGCCGCCCGCCCGCCCCCGGACACCGGCCCGGCCAAGGCGAGGCGAGGTGGCTGCGGCTTTTCCAGCCTCCGCTCAGGCAGGGCCGCTGCCGCTGGGATCGCCCGCTCCGGAGGCTCTGCAGTAACCCCAGGCGCCCTCCGGGGGGCGCAGGGCCCCGGCCGCTCGCCCTCCCTGCAGGGGGAGTCTCGGCTGCTTCTCTGGCTGCAGCCTGGGGCTCCGTGTCGCCGGGTGGGGAAGTCCGGAGCCTTCGAAGTCGTGCATGCCAGCCCAGGAGCAGCCACTCTCTTGCTGTGCAGCCTTAGGCAGGTCCCTTGCCCTCTCTGGGCTCGCTTCCTGGGCCTGAGACGCATTTTGGGGGGGAATCCTCACCCGAGGATATGTTTCCATTGATTTTTAGGGAGAGTGGAAGGGAGAGGGAAAGACAGGGAGAAGCATTGATGTGAGAGAGACATTGATGGGTCGCCTCCTGCAGGAGTAGGAGGGGAGGAGCCTGTAACGGAGGTAGGTGCCCTTCACCCGAATCGAACCCGGGACCCTTTGGCCCGCAGGCCGATGCTCTATCCGCTGAGCCACACCGGCCAGGGCTGCCTGAGACTCCTTTTTGCCCGAAGCAGCAGGAGCTGGCAGGTGGCCTCACCCTTGGCTGCAAGTCGGCTTCCTGAGTCGGTTGCCAGTGGCCACACCCGCTGCTGACGGCCGAGCTGGAAAGAGGCTTCTGGAAGGCAGCGGGCGTGGGCTGCACACAGAGGCAGGCCCAGCTGCCCCCCTGACAAGATGAGGTCGCATCCTAGAGAGATCCTGGCCGGTGTGGCTCAGTGGGTAGAGAGTCGGCCTTTGGACTGAGGGCTCCCAGGTTCGATTCCCGGTCAGGGCCCATGCCTGGGTGACGGCCTCCATCCCCAGTGTGGGGTGGGCAGGAGGCAGCCGATACCCATGATTCCCTCTCATGATTGATGTTTCTCTCTCCTGCTCCCTTCCTCTCTGAAATCAGTACAAATCCTATATAATAAAAGACTAATATGCAAATTGACCGGAAGGTGGAATGACTGGTCGTTATGACACACACTGGCCACCAGGGGGCAGATGCACAAGGCAGGAGCTGCCCCCCGGTTGGTCAGTGTGCTCCCACAGGGGGAGCGCTGCTCAGCCGCAAGCCGGGCTCTCGGTGAGCACAGCAGTGGTGGTGGGAGCCTCTCCTGCCTCTGCTGCAGGTGGGCGGTAAGGAGCGGGGGTCCTGGACTGAGGGAGGGCGTAGGCCGGGCTGAGGGACCCTCCCCGCAGTGCACGAAATTTCGTGCACCAGGCTACTAGTATATTATAAACAAGTAAATAAAACAGAACTTCCAAACCATAAAAAAAAGAGAGAGAGAGAGAGCCCCAGGCAGCCCCTACCCCTGTGGTAGGCAGCCCCATCCTCAACCAACACAGACCTTGCCAGGCTCCCTCTGGTGGGTCTGTTATGTCGTGGGGGCCGGACCGGGGCCAGAGCCCGTTGGACACCGACCATTTCCTCTTCCGTAGGCTCCACGTGAGACCCCCCGGGATGCCGGCCCCCATGGCTTCCTGGACGAGCCGCTGGTGGCTGCTGGTGTGGATGGTCTTCAGGCACTGGGCGCTCCTGCAGGTACCAGGGAGGGGAGAGGAAGGGGGGACGGGCCTCGGTTTCTGTAGGAGCATCGTTCTCTGCCACCTCAGATGGGCTGTGATTTGTGTGTGTGTGTGTTTTCAATAATTCTTTATTGTTGAAAGTGTTACAGATGTTCCCTTTTCCCCCATTGACACTCTCCAGTGCCCCCACCCTCACCCTGGCCTTCACCACTCCTCCATCTGTGGTATGCATGTATGCAGGGGCCATGCATACACACATACATGGTCTTTGGTTGATCCCCTCGCACCCACCACCCTCCCCCGCCTTCCCTCAGAGATTCCACACTCTGTTCCGTGCTTCCGTGTCTACGATGCATCCGTTACTAATACCCCAAAGAGAATGTACCATTCTCTCACCTCCAGCGAATGGGATTTCGGGGTGACGTGCCTGTAGGCATCACCCACATCCCCGGGGACCCCTCTGAGGCCTGAGCCGGGGCCTCGGTACCTCTGTGGGTCCAACGTGTCGGCGGTGAGGTGGGGCTGTGGTGGAGTGGGGGTCTGCATGTGCCCGGTACAGGCTGGGCAGAGTGAGGCCTGGAGACCGGGAATGGGCAGCGCTCAGGGCCCGGGGCCTTACCTCGGCCCCTCAGTCCGTGTGCTGAGTATACGTCGGTCCGCACACACCACGCTGTTTTGCAGTATTTTCTTTATTTTTTTAAAAAACCGTGACTAGGCCAAGATTTATTGTTAGCTGTCTCTTTTAAAATATATTTTTACTGATTTCAGGGAGAAAGGGAGAGGGAAAGGGATAGAAACATCGATGATGAGAGAGAATCATGGATCGGCTGCCTCCTGCACGCCCCCTACTGGGGATTGTACCCACAACCCGGGCCTGTGCCCTGACCGGGAATTGAACCCGGGACCCTTCAGTCCGCAGGCCGATGCTCTATCCACTGAGCCACACCGGCCAGGGCTGCAGTCTTTCCTTTAGACTCCTGTCTTTCCCGTCGGTCTCGCATCCTCCTTCGCCGACAGGGCTGGCTCACGGGAGTGACGCTAGCATTGCCTGCGAGACAGTAGGGAGTGGTGGGGACAGTGGCCCAGTGGCTGGCACCGGCTTCATCCATGCAGAGCCCCCTCCAGGAGCTCCCCTCCAGCGGCTCCTCGCCCGGTGGAGGCACAGGCCCATGACGGCCAGGTTTTCCCATTCCCCCAGGCGGTGGGCCAGCCGGATGCCCTGTGATCCCCCAGTCTGTAAAGCACTGAAAGTCAGACAGCTGTGCTTGTGGCCGAGGGAGGGTCGAGATGTTTTAGTCTCAGATCTGAAGGTACAGAACGACACAGCTTAGTCAGTGTCATGTCCTGAGGGCTGCTGCGAGCCCACACGTGTCCTGTGTGAATGGAACAGGCTAGCCCATACGTGTCCTGTGTGAATGGAACAGGCTAGCCCACACGTGTCCTGTGTGAATGGAACAGGCTAGCCCACACGTGTCCTGTGTGAATGGAACAGCTAGCCCACACGTGTCCTGTTTGAATGGGAATCAGGCTGCCCACACATGTCCTGTGTGAATGGAACAGGCTAACCCATCCGTGTCATAGTGAATGGAACGGGCTAGCCCACACGTGTCCCTGTGTGAATGGAAACATGTCCTGTGTGAATGGAACAGGCTAGCCCACACATGTCCTGTGTGAATGGAACAGGCTAGCCCACACGTGTCATATGTGAATGGAACGGGCTAGCCCATACGTGTCCTGTGTGAACGGAACAGGCTAGCCCACACGTGTCCTGTGTGAATGGAACAGGCGAGCACATACATGTCATGTGTGAATAGAACAGACTAGCCCACACCTGTCCTGTGTGAATGGAACAGGCTAGCCCACACGTGTCCTGTGTGAATGGAACAGGCTAGCCCACACGTGTCCTGTGTGAATGGAACAGGCTAGCCCACACGTGTCCTGTGTGAATGGAACAGGCTAGCCCACACGTGTCCTGTGTGAATGGAACGGGCTAGCCCACAAGTGTCATATGTGAATGGAACAGGCTAGCCCACACGTGTCCTGTCTGAATGGAAAGGGCTAGCCCACACGTGTCCTGTGTGAATGGAACAGGCTAGCCCACACATGTCCTCTGTGAATGGAACAGGCTAGCCCACACGTGTCCTGTGTGAATGGAACAGGCTAGCCCACACATGTCCTGTGTGAATGGAACAGGCTAGCCCACACGTGTCATATGTGAATGGAACGGGCTAGCCCACACGTGTCCTGTGTGAATGGAACAGGCTAGCCCACATGTGTCCTGTGTGAATGGAACAGGCTAGCCCACACGTGTCCTGTGTGAATGGAACAGGCTAGCCCATACCTGTCCTGTGTGAATGGAACAGGGTAGCCCACATGTGTCTTGTATGAATTGGAACCAGGAAGCCACCTGTGTTTGACGTAATTTTCGGGCATGAGGCTCTGTGGCCTGCGTACCCTCAGGGTCTAGCAAAGGGCCTGGCACGTAGTAGGAGCTTTACCGTCCGTGAAGGGAGCATGCGCACACGAACAGAGATGCCCGGGTGCATTAATCACACCTCTCTGCCCCTGGGGCTCTGTTTCCAGCCTCTGTCCGCTCCAATCTGTGATTCCCGTGGCCCGCTTATCGAAGTCCATGTTTTCTGTCCTTGTCCCTTGTGGTCTGTGCTTCTCCATGATCCTATGTCAATAGATATCTTCTGGCCCAGCTGGTGTGGCTCAGTGGTGGAGCGTCCACCTATGAATCAGGAGGTCAGGGTTCCATTCCCGGTCACAGCACAGGCCCGGGTTGCGGGCTCCGTCCCCAGTGGGGGGCGTGCAGGAGGCGGCCGATCCGTGATTCTCTCTCATCATGGATGTTTCTCTCTCTCCCTCTCCCTTCTTCTCTGAAATAAATTAAAAAATATTTTGACCCTACCCAGTTTGGCTCAGTGGCTAGAGCATCGGCCTGCAGGACAAAGGGTCCCGGGTTCGATTCCGGTCAAGGACATGGACCTCGGTTTCAGGCTCCTCCCCTGGTCGGGGCGCGTGCAGGAGGCAACCCATCGATGTGTCTCTCTGTCTTTCCCTCTCTCTTGTACTCTCCCTAAAAATCAATGGAAAAAAATCCTAGGGTGCGGATTAACAAAAATAAATTAAAAAAATAAAAGTAAATAAAGTAAAAAACGTGCTGTGAGGCAGCCTGTTGACCGTTGGCCAAAAGCAGTGTCTGCCCAGCCTGACTCATAACCTCTTCTGGAGTTTTCCACATCCGTGGGCTTCCATGTACGGGGCGTGTGCACAGAAAGTCGTAAAAGGAGATGCCAGGCCCTGACCGGTGTGGCTCAGTGGATAGAGCGTCGGCCTTCGGACTGAAGGGTCCCGGGTTTGATTCCGGTCAAGGGCAAGTACCTGGGTTGCGGGCACATCCCCAGTAGGGGGCGTGCAGGAGGCAGCTGATCAATGTTTCTAACTCTCCCTCTCCCTTCCTCTCTGTAAAAAATCAATAAAACAATATAAAAAAAAAAGAAAAAAGGAGATGCCAGGTCTTTTCTTAAAAATATATTTTTTAATTGATTTCAGAGAGGAAGGGGGAGGGAGAGGGAGAGAAACATCTATGATGAGAGAGAACCATCCATCGGCTGCCTCCTAGAATTGCTTGGAGCAGCTAAACCGCTGTGACGCGAAAAAAAGGTAACCAACAAAATCGCACAAAACCGGCGCCTACCTCCTAATGAGAGGATAGTACACGTTCGCGCTCTGAACGGCCTGTCATTCCGCGGGAACCTCTAGGGGGCGCTCGCGAGGAATCGCCTGTAATTCCGCTGCGAAGCTGCAGGGGGCACTCGGGAGGCATCAACCCCGGAGAGGGGGCGGGGCCTGATCTTCTGGGGGCGGGGCCTGCAGGTATGGGCGGGATCGGCCACTGTCCCACCCAGAGAATTCTGGTGAGGGTCCCCGGGCCCTGCCCGTGGGCCGGACACTGGGTTAGGTCCTTAGGGACAGCCTGGGTGTGACTCACAGCTGGCTCCCTGAGCCTCCTGCGGATTTGGGGGCTCGGGGGGTCCCAAGGTGTTCTTTAGTGTGTCCCTGGTTATTAGTGCCGCCATGAGGAGGCTGGTAGGGCATTAAGACTCGTGTGAGGGGCTCGGCCAGTGTGGCTCAGTGGCTCAGCATGGACCTAGGAGCCAGGAGACAGTGGGTCCAGGAGATGGAGGGAGAGGGAGATGGTAATCTTCGTCCATTTCCTCTTGCGTGAGTCGGGTCCCGCGGAGCAATGGTTAGAGAGCCCAAAACACTTGTATTGGCCTTTTTTTTTTTATTTTATTTTTTACATATTTTATTGATTTTTTTACAGAGAGGAAGAGAGAGGGATAGAGAGAAACATCGATGAGAGAGAAACATCGATCAGCTGCCTCCTGCACACCCCCCACTGGGAATGTGCCCGCAACCCAGGTCCATGCCCTTGACCGGAATCGAACCCGGGACCTTCAGTCCGCAGGCTGACGCTCCATCCACTGAGCCACACCGGCCAGGGCTGTATTGGCCTTTTACAAGAGCTGCTTATGCTACCAACTGATTTGTGGTAGGACCTGGTTATTATTATTATTATTATTATTAATTTTATTATTTGGTATTTTTTGGTATCCTTTCCATCTGCTTCTCTCCTTACTCTCATATGCATGGTCTCCATATCGTCTATACAATTTTTTTCTTAATATATTTTTATTGATGTCAGAGAGGAAGGGAGAGGGAGAGAAAAAAGAAACATCAATGATAGAGAGCCTCATGGATCGGCCGCCTCCTGCACGCCCCGCACTGGGGATCGAGCCCACAACCCGGGCCTGTGCCCTGACCGGGAATCGAACCCTGACCTCCTGGTTCATAGGTCGACGCTCAACCACTGAGCCACACCGGCCGGGCCGTATCTTCTGATCCTCCCACAGAACTCCCCAGCCACGTTCCGTGGCACCTCCCCTGCTGAGCCCTGTCCACGGAACAGGTGTAAGCGAGGTACCGTGGGTTGAGCTCATTGTCATC